TCTGCTAGTGACAATCTCCCCTTTTTCTTGAGCACTTAGCTGAGTAATGAGGGAGAAAGGAAACAGAACATCCAGGAGGAAGGAGGGAGACGATTGATAGAGTCAGTAACTAAGATTGTCCCAGATGCTGCCTAATCAGGGTCTTTTTTCCCTCCTTCCTTCTCTCCCTCCCTTCATTGCTTGCTTCCTCCCTTTATTTTGTCTTTCAACTTACCATGCTAGCTATCGATTTATTACAGAAAATAGGCATCAGTGTTTTTAGGTTTCATGCTCTCAGCCATCTTCACTAAGTTTCAACTTTTCTGACCACATACACGTTTTCAAACATTTGGCCAGTGCTTTTGAAGTTGTGAAAAATCACTAATTATTGGAAATGAATTAATTTAAATAATTATTGCACATTTATTACTGCTGGGTAGTAATAAAACCTTTTTGACACAGAATTAGGTGGTTGCAGATTTGCCTGCTTTGAATCTTGGTTCTATTATTAATGAGCCACATATGCTTGAGCAGGTTTCTCCGCTTGGCAGGCCTCAGTACCTTTGGCTATAAAATAAAGTGGTGAGACTGAATAATCGCTAATGCCTCTTTTGCTATAGAATTATCTCAATGTCTGTCTTGTTACAAACATAAAAAGGATTCCTTAGTAGCAAAAGTATATTGAGTCATAAAGGATTAAGATTTTTGGAGAGCTGTAATCTCTTCTGTCACATCTGTGAAGGACTTTATTACTCTCTTTAATTGCCCTTAGCCAAGGTTAATTAACTGTGTTTAAGTTCTCTCTTATTGTACAATGTGTGCCTCTCTATTCTTTGCCCAAGAGTTTATTTTTTTCTTTTCAGTCTCTGATCAAAAGCTGTCACCATGGTTTTGGGAGGTCAGTGACTTCTTTTCTGCACTTAACTGGCAGATGACACTTTTGAAGTACTGTATACTTTGCCTTCTTCCAGCTGTTCCTACCTCTTAGTTCTTGGTAGTGTGCAGAGAGAGGATCAAGTAACCCGTGTATTTCCCTTACAGATGTATCTTTGTCTTGGCATTCATCTTCCCTGTCAAGAAATGGATAACGGAGACATAATTAAGAAATAATCATGATCCTTCCTTGTTGCCAGAGACCTATCCCATTGTCAGGCTTGCTCTTTCATTATATTGTTTACCCCTTAGGGAAAAGAATTTTTAGAAGGACTCCTTCATTTCATCAGCCTGTTAAACTGCTTTTGAAAAAAGCCTTAAGTTTGAAATGGAATCTCTCAGAGCATCAAAGGATTTACTGTTTGATATAGCCATAATTTCACCCAATTTTTTCCTTACTTGAACTCACTGCCTCATGCTTGGTAGGCAGGCACTCTACCACTTGAGCTATGCCACTAGCCAGAGACCCATTCTTTATCATGAGTCTATCTCTCATATATCTGACCTTTGTGAACAGTTCCTAGGTAGGTGTGAACAAACACATTGTAGTTTGATATTTTTGAAATATTTTATGCTGTAGTACATAGTAGATAAAAAAAATGCTAGCAGCCATTTGGTAACAATATTTTTGGGATATTTAGGAAGACACCAAAGATATCTTATTTCTTTGATGGCATCATTTCTAATACGCCCTTTGTACTAGACCTCTAGTTGGAGAAATATAAAGGCAGGAGTTCTGCTCCGAGAATATGGTATGTCTATAGTAGCAACTGACAGTCACTGATGGTTTTTGAGTTAGACAACAGCATAATTAGAATGTCTTTATGGATATTCTTATTGCTGAGACCAACAACGATGCTGGTCTGAAGGCAAAGGAAAGTGGGAATGGGTCAGAGTTGTAATAGTTGAGATGGAGAACAAGCAAAAGAGTCAGATACTGTTTTAGGGGAATATTAGTCAGGAGCATTGTTATTAAGTCAATGTTTGGACACTTGTTTCTCACCCTTTAATGGAAGAGCTAAAATGTTATGATTACATCAGGAAATGTTACACAGACCAGAGTAGAATACTTTGGGAATGCACAGCTAGACACCGCCTATGTAGCTGCCTTCTAACCATTTGTTTACCCTGTGTTTCACTTTTCATAACAGGTTTGAATCATCCTCCCATGCTATTAGCATGAGTGCCTATTTGAGAGAACAGAGAAGAGAGCTCTACAGTCGTAGTGGAGAACTTCAAGGTAGGTGATTGTATTTCTCTTGAAAAATTAATTTTCTGGAGGATGATTTGAAGCAGTTATGGCATGTAAGTTTGTTGCCTGCATTCTAGATAAAAAAAAATTACAGACTTGGTAATCTATTTCTTCTGTCATTTCCTAGCATCTGCTGCCACACAGCTATAACTAATGCTCCAGCCATAGGTCTTAATCACTTGCTGCCATTCAGGTGGGAATTGCACACTAAAGAGATGAGGCCAGGCTCTTCTTGCTTAGATAGCAGATGAGTCCAGTCACGGTTTAGCAGAATGGCAGTCTTCTGTGGTGGCCACTGTTATTGTTGTTCTAGTTGTTATTTTTAACACTTTCTGGAATGTGACAGGTATAATGGAATTTGGAAAAGGGCAAAAGTAACTGCTATCATTATTTAGAGGGAAGAAGTATGCCTTTTAACAGTATGATCTAATCAGCATAATTTTGATACACAAGATTCTTGTATAGTTACTGAAGAATTTCAACCTAGAGAAGAAAAATACTTAGAAAATAAATTATGGTATGTAAAGCAAAACCAATAAAAATTTCCAAATTTCAAACCAGTAAAATTTCCTCTGTGACAAAAAGGAACATGTTAAATTATGGTAAATGTAATCTATTAAGAAAGATTTGTGAGGGCCTGCTAAGTGTCAAGTTGGTTACAAAGAAATAGAAGATAAAGCCTTAAGATACAGTTGTGAAAGAAATGAATATATACCGTCACTTCATTTCTATGGTTCTGCATGTAGTTGTGTCTGTACTGAACATGTATAGAATTTATTGTTACCATTTCCTAAGCACTGTAGTAAAACAACCAATATATTAGGTATTATAAGTAATCTAAAGGTGGATTTTTTATCCGTGGGGATTACTACACACACACACACACACACACACACCAGTAACAATATGAAGAAGTAAATATTGGCAACTTAAGTCACTAGAATCACTAGAGGAATTAAGAAAAGGGAGTGATTATTTAAATTATTTTAAAATTCTGGCTTTTTTCATAAGGGATAGGTATGAACACTTTTAAAGTCTTTGATGTGTAATGAAAACCAGGATTGTAAAGTAGGTACAGTGTGTGTGTATGGGGGTGGGGGGACGGGGTTCTAGTGGGAGGAGAAGGGTGAAGGAAGGAGATTAAGGTGATGGTATATGGTAAAAGGACTTCTTATAACTATATGAAACAGAACTAAGAAACCTCTTGCAATTGCTTTAAGTGGGATGGGGAGGGGGCTGAGGAGGAGAGACACTGGGGGTAATGTAACTAATGTACAATATAAGTTTAATCGGAATTGTCACTACGAATCTGCCCCTGTATAATGAATATATCCTAATAAAAAACTTATATTAAAAAAATAAAGTGTTTGATGTCTTGGAGGCATTTGGAGCATTTTGTAATGACTAATCTTCACAATTAAACATTTAACATAGATGTAAATCAAAATACTATGAAATAACTAGTCAGTCTTTTTGGATTTGAAAGTTATTGTCAGTCATCCTGCCTTCACCTTCATTATTAATCTAATAGCCTCTAATTTTTTCTAAAGACTGCTATGCTTGCTTATATTTGTGTCATAGTAATAGTTCCACAGTTTGCATATATATATGCATGTTAACATATGCATATTAACCAGAAGTAAAAACCTAGATGTTCCAGAGTATTAGGAAAATCCAACATTTTATTTAATAGTAAAGTGTTATCACGTATTCAGGAAAGTACATATGAGTTTCTTGTTGGAGTAAGAGTAGTTAGGATTGGGAACAAAAGCAGCAGTGACCCATTCTGTGGTCAGATAGGGAATGAAGGAGAAGAGTTACCCAGGCTGTAGGGGAAGCTACCTCTCAGGAGAGAAGAATGGCCTGCAAAGTGAGGTAGGAAATGATGGTTATGGAAGTTGGGATTACGCTTAAACTATCACTTGGTGGGGGGGGGGGTGTAGCAGGTCATCTAGGTCCAGAGCCCTAATTTGTATTTCTTTTTATTGTTGGCTTAAGGAATAGTTTAAATTTGCCTCCATAATTTTTCTCCATCTGTCTTCTAAATTTCTTTAATGGAAGTAAAGCCTTTGACTTCCTTTTTTTAGGTTGAATCCTTATCATCTTATTTAAAAAAATTAATAAACTTTTTTTTGGAGGAGTGGTACTGATGTTTTGAACTCAGAGCTTTGTGCTTGCTAGGCAGGTACTCTCCCATTTGAGCCAAGGCTTCAGACTTACTGAATGTTTGCATAGTAGGAAGTATGAAGTTTCTGTCCAAACCCTGTTCCTACACAGCCTTCTCCTCTGTCAGCATCTTGTACCATGGTGAAGCCTTTCATTTGGCACTTCGAGATGAAAAGGTAGACCATGTAATCAATGGGGCAATAATACAACCTGTCGCTCACTCATATTCAAGCATTATTAGTCAACAGGATAAATGATTGATACCATATTCTTCATTTTGTTAAACAGTAAGAATAATGAGCACTTTATGCTATAGCCATGTGGAATGATTTTCGGTTCTTCCCCATGGTCCATGATCTGTTGGTAGTTAGTGTAGTGTGTCATTGTAGAGTTGGGGTCTCTAATCTTTAAATGTAGGTTGCCTAGGTCCCCACCAGTCCTTGCACACTAGCCTTGGGTAAGTTACATTATCTAGGTGCCTGTTCTCCCTTTTTTCTAAATGGGGATAGATATAACAGTGTCTAGGCCGTGAGGAGGTTGTGGAAGTTAAGGGAGTTCAACTGTGACCAGTGCTTAAACAAGTGTCTGACATAGAGAACATTATATGTTTTCATTTTTTTTCCTCCAGAGTTATACTTCTAGTGTTGTGTTTCAGAGTTTTCACATCTTCTCTTTGTCATTTGTGTCATCTTTGTATGGCTAAATTTGACTTGACTTTATAAGTTAAATTTAGTTGTCACTTACAAGCTTCCTTGCTGTTGGGCTCCTGGTGTGTATTCCAGCACATTGTTATTATTATCTGAGTACTTGCCATGCTGTACTGGGGGTCAATGTTCACTTGCTTGAGTTTGTCATAAAACTATCAGCTCTCAGAGTAACATCATATTTTATTTCCTTTGCTTTGCACTGTGCCTGGTACAGTAAATGTTCCAAAAATACTGGTTGATTCAGTGACAGAATGAATGAGGTCAGTTGAGGTATAAAATAGGATAGAGATCACCTTGGGTGGGAGGAAGGGCCCTAACTGGAGGTGGTGCTACTGCTAACATTAGTAGCCTGGTAGGTTTTGATGTGTTTTTAAGTTTAAGAAGCAGAAGCTATGCATGTTTATGTTTTCTGCAGTTACCCTATATTTAAGTAAAAGAGTTGTCCTTGAGCTGTCTGGCTCAGGAGGAAACTGCTGTATGTACTTGAAAATATTTTTAAATTCAACTTAGTTACAGGGAAATTTTATTCTGTTAGGATGGGTAATGGAAGAATCACTATAATATAACTTCCCCATTCTTCACAAGTTCATTGAAATATGGAAACTTTAAAGCACAAGTCAATTGCCTTTAAAATTTTCAGCAGGATAGGAGCAATAACTGGTTACAAGAGAGAAAAAGTAGTTAGGAAACACATCATGTTTATGATAATCATTTAAAATAGTTTCATTGAGTTGTCACTTCACATACTTGGTGAGAGAATGGGTAAGTTAACTAGATTTTGTAAAAGTTTGATGGTATTTCATTCAGGAGCAAAAGCTTCTCTGATGAATGCTTTTAAAATTTCAGCAGGACAAAAAGCATAAATCACACCTAGCTTCCATTAAAAATGGCTATCTTTTTTTTTTAGTTATTTTGTTAATCTATCTGGTCCAAGGGCCACAGTGAGATCTGTATTTCAGCTTACCCTAGAAAAAGCATAATTGAATAGTTCAGTCAAATCATATGAGACTGGCAAAGATTTGTGTGTGTGTGTGTGTGTGTCTTCTGTTAGTGCCATGTAGCTACAGGCTTCACTTCCTAGTGGTTTGGTTCATGGGGTCAAATTTTCCTTCTGTTGCAGGGGAAGAGCAAAGAAATTCACTATAAAAATCATCAACGTAACATTTAAAAACCTCAAATTTTATAAAATTGAAGTTCTTGGCAACATTTTTCATTGATCATGTAATTAAAAATGTTACTGAGTCTAACAATGCACGACGGGGAAAAAGTATGTAAAAGTGAGATTTCTTTGGTATTATCAGCCCATGTCAATTGACTTAACTGTTAGGGTATAGATGGTTCATTATATAGTCTGCTGTTGGCAATTGGGCTAAGAAGGTGAAGGTGCTACTTCAAAGTGTGTGAGATAATAGGTGGAAATCTAACTTGTGTTTGTTTCTACGTTAATCATCAACTTCCTATTGTTTTGAGCCTCTCCACTGTATCATTGTACTGCTTGGACAGCAGTGTTGTAGGTGAAGAAAGATGTTAGTTTTAATGAATATTTAGCTTTTTATAGCTTCTCAGGCTTAATGTATGAATCTTCAAGAGAAAAAAATAATTGCTGAGCATATCTTGTGAGGGGTTAAAAAAAAATAAAAATACTGCCACTCAGCACCAAAATAAGTTTGTAGGTTAATCAGTTTAACTGTGCCTCAATTTTCTCAAATGAAAAATAGAGCCATTGTCAGTTCTGACTAATTTAGGAGGAAATTGTGAATAATTAGAATAAAACTATATTGTTTAAAATGAAAATAGTGCTTTAAAAGTTATCAATGAAGAAGTATTGCATCTACTTCTCTTTCTTTTATTTTCTCAATTCCAGTTCACTGAGTTAACTCTGTAGAAGGTCATCAGTACCTTCCATCATGACAGACTCTATGTGTATGCTCTTAATCTCACTTGATGTTTCAGCAGCTGTTTTCCCTTTTTCTTTCTCATGTTCTTTCTGAGACTTCTCAAGACTCTGTTCTCTCAGGATTTGGTCCTGAGATTTCTTCTGTGCACACTCTGTAGCTCAGAGAACTCAGCCAAGACCTAGGTTTGCTTAGTACCTGGGTACAGATGGCCTCTGTATATGTGTCTCTTGCCAGGTCTAATTCTTGTTTCCTGACCTGTTCTAGCATTCTGTCTCTCATCCTATATTTCTTTATCACAAAATTTAAAAAAGTTTTTTTCAGAATACTTTTCTTAATATGTTCATGTCTTGTTTACTTATTACCTTGGTAATTTTCTATACTTACTTCCATCCAGAGTGCAAGTCCATTCATTGGTGCACATCAGTGCCTAGTGTAATGCGTGGCTTGAGCTAGCCTCTTCAAAAGTATATGATGGAGGCTTGGCATATAGCTCTGTGGTAGAATGTATACTTTGGCCCTGACACTGGGGATATTTATACGTACATTTACATATACTTGTAGACACACATACATGTATATAGTGAAGGAATAATATCCTTATTTGTAAGCACAAGCTTACTTATTTGAAAAACTCCAGTGGAAACTTTAATAAACAGAGTAGGAGTCCTGAGATTTGTCTTCCCTCCTTAAGGATAATAAGACTCATGAATGAATAGAGTTCATTAATGGCCATTGATTCAAGTAGAAATGTGTACTCAGTTTTGATTACAGTTTCTTTTTTGTCTTGGGGCTACTTAGACTCCTGTTTGTACTCAGTGATATTACCTTTAAAGTACCATTTTTATTCCCATTAGTTTAATGAGTGGCATTTCTATAGCTCTGACATTAAAATATTCTGTAAAGTTCCAACCACTTGAGAATTGACTTTGCTAAGAGGATTTGCTTTACGTAGTAAATATGGAAGTACTGGTATCAGGGAAAACTGGGCTCTTTTACTGACCTGACCTGCATTTTCTGAGTTTCCCTCTCTAATGGGTTGTTGGTGACTGGGGTTGTGAATACTTAATGCTATTGTATGCAATTAATCTATTTGGAGGAGCCTTGCCTTAAGGTAAGACAATATTTGAGCTAGATTAACCATGGGTTGATTATCCTTTCCACAAAAGGATTTATAATATTAATCTCTTAAATAGCAAGCTATTCTATAATGGAGCATTTATTTATTTATTTATTTATTATTGTGCTGTGTGGGGGTACATTGGAGTATTTGCAAAAGTTACTACCATGTTTCAAATATATCATATTTAAATTCACACATTTGAATTCACTCTTTCATCCCCCTGTTGGAATTGATAACCCTCCGGTGCTAAAAACAGACACACAAAAGACAGAAAATCTTGACAAGGCAATTTTCCCTTTATCAAGAGAGTACAAGCATGTGCTCACTCCCACAAAGCAACACACAAGCACAAAATGGCTGACAGTGGCTCCTCCTTATATCCCTGACACAGTTGTACCTGCCCCTCACCTGGGATTTGTCCAGGTCAAAGGTTCACAGT